CCTTACTACAAAGTCATGTTGTATCCTTCTTCACATCAAGCAACTCCTTTCTGTTGTATCAAATCTCCCGCCGTATAATAGCCGATATTTCAAATTAAGTCCATAGACCCAGTCACTGACCACCCTAAACCCAAATCACTCTAGACTTTTTCTCCGGGTGTGTAGTTATCCTGCCACTGAACCCATATGCTACTCTGCCACTTTCCCACTTTGGCCAAACCCCTATTCTTTAAGCAACTACTCGACTTTCGCTTCTTACACTTGTCCTTCTAGAAATTTAACCACCGCATGACACTTCCCACATGTCCTTCCTCATCCTTTGCTGCTCAGCTGATGCCTTAGATCAAAACCTATTTCGTTAGCACTTGAACCAACAGACCACTACTAACTTTAAACCATTCCGAAGATCATCTTTCCTGAGCCGTCGACATTAGAAACACTGATTCAATCCCGAACCACCACACCCCGCGATCTTTGACAACCACTTCTTCAATACTATCTCACAATATCCTGCCCCACAGGCGATTTGTAGAAGATCATAACACGGCGAACTTAACATATACAATCGAGGACGACGACACCGCGTCACAGATAAGAATTCTACCACACTTGAAAACACCAAGTCTCGTTACTCTATCAACCCAAACCTGATCATTTATAACCCGATTGACTTTCTTTCGCCAGAAGTAAAATACCGAATCTCTGAATCATGCACTGAGTAAACCTCCCTTCAAGTCATACACTGCTTCCACGCATGGACAAGCATCCCACCATCACATCAATACCGTGCGATAACCATTCATGAGCATCATAGCAACCTGTGCATAGCCTCAAAGCTCTCAGAAGTACAGCTACGGAGTTGAAATGACGGAATATCCTTCCGCAAGGTGACGACAATAGCCCAAACAGCCATGCGGGGAGAAATATCCCGCACCACATTTGTATTACCATTAAAATTCCTCACTTCCTGATTTATAATAAGCGTTTCGCGTCGCATAAGATCGAGTAGGAATGGAAACAAAGGCATAAGCCTCAAAGGAATCAAATTGCACGATGAGGAATCAAGAAGGGAAGTGCTCCTAACAGCCCTGTAGCCTCTCGAGGATAAGTACAGACGTCTCTGTAGTGATCCGCAAGACTCTACTAGACTTGCTCATGACTCATGAGACCTAAGGGAACCTAGTGCTTTGATACCATGTTGGCACGACCCAAAATCCATCAAAGGCCGTGATGGCGCCGAACACCTCGGTCAAGCAAGCCAACATTAAATAACTAGTAATTTCTCGTTTTAATATTTTGAAATCGTTTCATTTATACATTAAACAATAAGTAATGGATTTCACTTAATAAATAATGATGTCGTTAACAAATCTAAATACTAAATAATCCTATCACCCCAGAACCCGGTGTCACAAGTGCATAAGCAATCACTAGGAGAAACAAATGAAATACAATAACTGTCCGGAATATAAATTTGGACAGAAAGAAAATACAGTAATCTGAAAGAGACTCTATTGGCTGCGGACCGTCTCGAGAGATGCATCTCACCTAAGTCTCTGTATCAACCATGTTGCTACGCCCACTAGGCCGCTAGAGATACATGTGCATGTGCAACAAAAATGCAGCAAGTGTAGTATGAGTACGAAAATAACACGTACCCAGTAAGTGTCCTGTCTAATCTCGAAGAAGTAGAGGCGAGAGGTCGACTTTGACACTTACTAGTGGTCCAATAATAATATACCAATAATATAGTAAATCGAGAATTTTTATATAAACTGTTGTAACTCAATAGCATGAAGAAAGTAATCAATTCTTTTACTAGTAGGGAATTTCCAAATTCATTTTCATCATTTATGCATTTATCTCAAGCTAGGGAGGCAATATCATTATCTAAAAATTTGCAAGTCAAGCAATACAAGCATGCGTAAATCATGCCGAGGTCGTACGGCCCAATCCAATAATATTTAAACTGTGCACTGCTAGAGGGTTGAATGGCGCGAACCATAGATGCATCTATGACCTCGCTCGCGAATCATACATGCGACACGGTCAAATATAAATAAACAATAACCCCACTCGCGAATCATACATGCGATGCAGGTACACATAGAACACACATTCAAACAGTCAATCAAGACTTCATCAAGGAAATAATTATTCAAAGAGGTGTCAATTTCTCTTTTATAAGTCGAGAAAACGAAGTTTAACTCTTTTAGAAAATCATTTACCACTTCAATACGATTAAAGCAATTTAAACTATCAATAAGGTTGCAATTATTTCAAGTAGAGCATGATTTTGGGTCGTAGACTACCCGGACATATGCATAATAGTAGCTACGTACGGAATCTCGTCACCTCGTGCGTACGTAGCCCCCACAAATAGAAACACATATCCAATTAATTCACCTATGGGGACAATTCTCTCTTACAAGGTTAGAAAGGAGACTCATCTCACTCCGAAGTTCCGTAACCGGCTTCCAAGCCCTTCCGATGACTCAAATTGATGCACCGCGCTCCAAAACTAGCCAAATAACGGGCAAACCAATGAAAATGCGCCCTAATAGTTATAACAATTCAATTTATATAAATTCCCAACTTCGCTCGAAAAGTTGACAAAATCGCCCTCGGGCCCACGTGCCCGGATTCCGAAATTTTTCGAAGCTAAAGTTTACCCATAACCTCACGACTCGATTATATAATTTACTCTCAATGTCATGTCTAAAATCATGGTCAAAATCCAAGAATACCAATTTCTAGGTTTTTCCTCAAAATCCAAATTTCTACTAATTTCTATAAAACATATACATAATCGATGTATTTAACTCAAACTAGTATAAACCACTTACCTCCTGCTTAGTGGTGAAAATGGCACTTCAAAGTTGCTCCAAAATCGGCTCCCATGGAAGAAATGGGGTTGAAAAGAGCTAAACCCCCGTTTTAAAGAAACCTCACTGCCTCCAGCATTTTCGCACATGCGGTGCACCAGCCGCACCTGCGACAATTCACCGCAAGTGCGGTCCTCTCAAGCTAGGCGAAATTCGCTTTTGTGGTCCTTCACGCGCATCTGCGCCGTCGCACCTGCGGGTGCCCTTTCGCTCTTGCGACTTAGCTGCCCCTCACGCATTCCGCATCTGCGGAGCTTAACTCGCACCTGCGGGCTCGCAGATGCGAAAATACCCTCGCATCTGCGGCCCCTCCCACCTCTGCCCAAATGCGCTTCTACGACCACCAAGCCGCACTTGCGGGCTCGCACCTGCGGCCCTCTTCACGCAGGTGCGGTTACACCAGAAGCCCAGCTGCTTCAGTTCTTCCTCAACTTCAAATTTCCATCCGTTGACCACCCGGAATCTACCCGAGGCCCCCGGGACCCCGTACAATCATACCAACCAGTCCCAAAACATAATGCAGACCTGCTCGAGGCCTCAAATCGCATCAAACAACGTCGAAATCACGAATCACACCTCAATTCGAGCTTTATGAACTTTTGAAATTCAAACTTCTACATTCGATGCCGAAACCTATCAAATCACGTCCGATTGACCTCAAATTTTGCACACAAGTCATATCCGACATTACGGACCTAGTCCAATTTCCGGAATCGGAATCTGACTCTGATATCAAAAAGTCCACCTCCATCAAAATTCAATAAAAATAAAATAAATAGAAATAAGAATTAATTCGAAATACTAAATAAGAAATAAGAATAAGGAGTCTTTATGTCGCGTTACGGTCAAACTTCTCAAAAACCTTCAAATTTCTAGCTTTCGCCAAATGACTCCAAAATGACCTACGGACCTCCAAATCCACTTCCGATCGCGCTCCCAATACCAGAATCACCATACGAAGCTATTCCCAGACTCGAAATCCCAAACGGACATTGATAACATCGAAATGCACTTCAACCAAACTTATGAAATTCTTCCAAAATGCTAACTTACACAATAAGCGTCGAAACGCTCTCGGTCATCCAAAACCCAATCCGGACATACGCCCAAGTCCAAAATTATCATACGAACCTGCTGGAACCTTCAAATCCTGATTCCGAGGTCGTTTACTCAAATATCCAATCTTAGTCAATTCTGCTAACTTAAAGCTTTCGAAATGAGAATTTTCTTTCCAAATCAACCCCGAACTTTCCGAAATTTAATTTCGACCACACGTACAAGTCCTAATACCTTAAGTCAATCTGCTCAGGGCCTCAAACTGCTGAACGACACGCTAGGGCTCAAAACAACGGTCGGGTCGTTATATTAGGAGTGAATTTTCTTCACTAATGAAATCTTAGCTTATGTAATTTCTTTCTGAGACTTACTTCACATTTAAAAGGAGAAATGTTTACCTCATAAAAGATTGAGAAATTATAAAAAATTAACATGGTATGATATTGTCCGCTTTGGACCAACCCCGTACAATTTTTTCTAAAACGCGTCTCACCATTAAGAGATTCCTACGCCTTATATGTAGCTAGCGTTTGGAATAAATTTGATTGAAAAATGAAAAAAGAGTTTTTGAAGTTGTGTTAAAAAATAATTTTTTATAGTTGAAGTTGTTTTTTGACATATATTTTATTTGAAGAAAAAGTTGAAGTTTCGTGAGTAAAAGAAAAAATTTCACCCAAATTGGGAACTTGAAAATTTTTGAATTTTTTTCCCCCAAAACATGATCATATTTCATAAACAAATAATGTTTTTCAAGGTTTTTTTTATTGAAAAAATCATAGTAAAATCTATGGCCAAACGGGAGTTGTAGGCTTCTAACATTTTCAGCTACCAATTTGCGACTTTGTTCGCATATCCGATAATTAAGTTCCACGTAATTCACTATCACGATCCATGAATCTGCCCCTTGAACTAGTTCTACGTGGCCTATTACCACGAGTCACGTGTCAATTTTTGAAATTCACACCCACATTATTTATAATAAGCCAAACCCGCAAGCCCCCACACCATCCCTTTGCCATTGTCATAGGTAATAACAAAGCAGCTAAATTCACATACAAACAGAAACACAACCACTCATCAGAAAGTCAAAAGTGCAACAGCTAACATTAGACAGTTAGTTGGCCTCATAGACGGTTGGACACACACTATTCTTAGATGTTAAAAACTGTAGCTTTCTATCTTTTCTAACTCTCTTCAGTCCCTCCAAACTCAATTACAATTTGAGTTGCAGAAAACCAGTGAAAAAACGTAAGAAAATATTCTTTTTCTGTACATTAATTATTTCTTTCACCTATTTCTCAATAATCATTCCCACTAAACTTCTAATCTTATTCTGTATATAGTTCTAAAAAAGGGACAAGTTTCCACACTTTACCACGCTAATATGTTCATGTTTACTGGAAAAGTAGAACTGAAGATTTTCATTTTAGGGTTAGTTCGTATTTCCATTCGACAAAAGGTTCCTCCTTTGGATTTTATCTTTTATTTGCTTAAATTTGCAAAAGCATTGACGTCATGATGAACATACTTGAAATTGTTTGAATTTTGCAATGCAGGTTCTGTTAAACGCTTTGTGATGAAAGTAAATAGGATTCAATGGGAGCCCAGATGAATTCATAGGTTTTTCTCCATCAACTATTACTTGGTAAAGGATTCTTCTTCAGTTCTTTGGGGTCTTATCCTTTTACTAGTTTTTTTTTTTTTTTTTTTTTTCCCAACCAGTATCCGGTATTTGCAGTGAGACCCACATTAACTGTATTTGCATCGCGTAAGGCCCATTAGAGAGGAAAACACTCTTTACTAAGATTTTTCCATTCCTAAGGCTCGAACCCAACACCTCACAAATTTTACTCCTAGTTAAAAGGACTGAACTTGATTATTGAGTCTCTTTCATGAAAAAAATGAATAAGCTATTGATTCACTTGTTGACTAAAATTGTTACTACTTCTTTTACCTTTGATAGTTTGAAGTGGCCGAAACATCTATTGACTGATAACACAAGGAACCAATTTCTACATTGATGAAGTTTCAGTAGCTACTTTTAGCTAGCGTTTGGACATAGATTTGGTTGAAACGTAAAAAACATGAGCTTTTGAAAGTTGAAATTGTGTTTGGAAATGCATTTTACTTGAAAAGAATTTGAAGATTTTGTTTTCAAAATCTGCCAAAAAATGGTTCAAAATCTATAAACAAACAGATATTTGAAAACAAAATTTGAAAAAAAACTACCAAATTTTATGGCCAAACGGGAGCTTTAGTTTTGACAGTGTGGAGTTAGGTTAATCTAGCTGTTAATAAGTTCTGAGAAAACCTTATCACACTTCCGAATTTACGATAGTAAGATGAATGCACAACTAGAGTACCTGAATACAACTTATATTTATATAATTGTAGTCAAGTCTGTTGAATCAGGCAGTTAAGTTATTGACAGATTCACTAAGATCGGAGAACTTCCGAGATGTTTATACAATCAAGTCCAAACGAAAGGATCGAGTAGATATCTTTCTTCACATTACTGGACAACTTTAGAACTCAAGGCTCTAGGACTTGAAACATCCTTTCAATTGGTTTTACTATTTCCATATGTTTTTGTTTATTTATGTCCTTTGTCCTAGCTGTGTCGCGAACTTTCAAACCTTAATTTTTATATGGAAGACAACAGACGAAGATGGAAGTCAATGAAGGAGCAAAAATAGCTATAGCTAGACCAGTCGCTTCAAGGCCTAGATGTCTTATTTACAAATCTTTCTCAGAGCTCTTGGCTGGTGCAATAGATATCTCATCGACAGATGTTCATTCTGAAATGGCTATTACAGCCATAAGACCAAAGACTGTCAGGTTAAAGCCTACAACAAACAATGCTTTAGTCGGAGATCTTTCTTCACAGGTCGATAATCTCTTTTCTAAGTTTTTCCATCATTTTATATGGCCCCAAACCTCTTCTTTGTTTCCTTTTACTACAAACGTGCATCTTGAAGTAATATTTCAATTGTTTTCTGAGCAATTTGTAATCTTATAGAAAGACTTGTTACTTCAGGTTGGTATGTCTGGTGCACCAGTTGGTAGTCCATCTGATAACATCTTGCAACTGTTAGAGAAACCCAAGGTCCTGTATAAACCCATGGCTAAACTTGCACCAAGGAAAACTATTCCTCTCCTTGAAAATAAGGTTAGTTTCCTTTTACATGGCTAAAGAAGCTGTGATAGTGTACTACTATACTCTTGCTCTGCGGCAATAATAAAATCTAGCACATCTTATGCATAGGGAACCTCTGCATCCGATCAGCAACGAGAAGTAGCTGATCGTGAGGCTCATGTTCATTCAGAAAATGAAGTTAAACAACAACATGACCTCACGACAGAATCTCAACAAAGTCGTTTAGAAAAATCAGGACAGGACAAAAAAATAGTGCATTCAACAATTGTATCAGAGAACACAGAAGAAGTTGAACAATCTTTAATAAACACGAGTAATGTTGATCGTCCTAGTTATGATGGATATAATTGGAGAAAATATGGGCAAAAGCAAGTTAAAGGAAGTGAATACCCGAGAAGTTACTATAAGTGCACGCATCTAAAGTGTCCTGTGAAAAAGAAGGTTGAAAGATCATTTGATGGACAGATTGCAGAAATTGTTTACAGGGGTGAGCACAACCACCCAAAGCCTCAGCCTCCGAAGCGCAACTTGTCAGATGGACAAGGCCGAGCAGCCGTATGCAATGACAATACCAAAGAAACAAATAAACCTGCATGGAGTAACCAACATCCTCATACGAGTGAAGCTTACGTATGTAGGATGGAAAATCAGAATGATGTTGGATTGTCTATACATTCAGCTTATTCCAGCAAAGCACCATGCTTTTATGATTCCATTGCAGCTGCGGGAATGCACACTGCTGCCCTAAATTCTGAAGATTCTGCTGAAGGAAGTAAAAAATTGGAGGCTACTTGTGATGAACCAAAATCTAAAAGAAGGTAAGTAGCAAGAAAATTCAATTAAATCAGCTATCTGAAATAAGTGCATCTACGGACGCCTTGGTAGCAAAATCTTTTCACTCATTACTGTTGCTAAGTCATTTGTGTATTAGTTCATCTTTCACAAATTTTTGAAAGAACCTCCTTCGCAACAAAACTTAAGGTGAGATTTTCCCAATGTGAATTCTAAGGTTTCTTTGACTTGGTATTGGGGAATACTTCATTTCATTTCATATTTGGGACTGTGGTCTTCCATTTTATCAGTTTACTTTTCATCGCAGAAGTAATTAAACTGATTAGTGACTACTATGGGGTTTTACTTCCCAGGAAAATTGAAGGACAACCCAATGAAGCAGGTACATCAGGGGAAAGTGCATTTCCTTATATGCCAAACCAAAATACTACTGACTCTGAAATTACCGGGGATGGCTTTCGCTGGCGAAAATATGGCCAGAAGGTTGTGAAGGGAAGTTCATATCCCAGGTAAAATCCTTTTCTCATCCTTATGGACAAAAACTATGTTGCTCGGACTCTCCAAAAATGTCTCCGGGTGCGTGTCGGATTCTTCAAAAGTAGTGTATTTGGAGGATCTGATACGGGTGCGTCAACATTTTGGAGAGTCCACGCAACATAGGACAAAAATAGTACACAAAGTCCAAGGGAATACGATACATGTCGGAAGAAAACATAATAACTCACAGAGCCATGCATATGATGAAGGTTATTTATGGATTTGGTAGCTTTTCGAATGGTAAAGATCAGGTTCATAATACTGAGACTATGTGAGACTTTGTTAGATGATTTAATTTCAATGTGCAAATATTTTTTCTTAACCTCCTATCATTCTTCCCTCCCTACTTAATGTGACATATTGTCTTATTATCATGTCTTGATTGGTGCTATGTACAGGAGCTATTATAGATGCACAAGTCCCAAATGCAACGTGCGAAAGTTTGTTGAAAGAACCACAGATGATCCAAAAGCCTTCATTAATACATATGAGGGAAAACACAACCATGGCGTTCCAAATAGAAGGCCAAACTCTGAGTCATCCAAAACAAGCTCAAAATCTTCAGCTATGAAAGACAAATCATAGTCGACGTGCTCAAAAGAACCTCATTCCAGCTAAATAAACAATGTGCTAATAGTATACTCTTAAGAAGATGGTTTAGCAAATGGGAAATTAATGAAGTTAAACTTACTGCAGTAGTCATTATATTTCCTTTGCTAAACTATGTTTCTATGAAATATTAAGGAATATGACTATGTTGAAGCCATTGAACCTGGAAAAAACCTATGCCAGAAGAGGGTGCTGTTGATCTCTTTCCAAGCATCAGCAATGTAAACTATTGGCCTCTATCGTTCTAGTTAAGTTGAGAACAATTATCTGATGATATGACTTCTTATTTGAGTAAATTATATTTTTCCTACCTAATTTAATTTATAGGATAAGCTGGCAAACTTTTGCAGAGAAAGTGAAGTGCTAATTCTTCACTTACCATGCAGTTATTCCATTGATTAATTCTCCTCAAGTGTGCAGTCAGGAATACGTGAGTATGTGTAGGGACTCCAAATCAACTCTTGGGGCTAATAATCAATAATATTTCATTAAGTAGTTTGATACACACGCACAACATAACTGTAACTCCTGAAATGCTATAACTATGCTGATACAAATCTCCAGCACAAGCAACAAGCTGTCTCAAGTACAGTCTACATACAACAAACATAGACCACTTTATCTATGTATTACTTATGCAGAATCCTTCAAGTCCATGACATGAACAGAGCACCACTTATTCGTTTAATTATCGACGTTGATGGATCAAGCATTTTTCGGTTTTACGCCTGCAATAAACAGATGGAGAAGAATTAGCATAGACTATTCACACACAAGATATGAAAATATCAAGTTCTTTACGCGTGAGTAACTACCAAAAAGCGGCTCTTATATAAGTCGACCACTTTCTGGGGATCAACTTTTGTCTGCTTGTAACCATCAAGTTTGTTCACTTCCTGCAGGGCAATCATATAGCATAACCAATCAATTAATTAATGAGTCAACTACGCCTCAATCCAAAACTAGTCCGGCGACCATATTTTTAGTGCAGCATTAAAAATATTGAACTTCTACCACAAAAAGAAAATCCTCCAATCCTCATAAGCACCCATTTCTTGGTTTTTACCCTTTTCTTAGTTTCCGTTGCTTTTACCAGTGTATATCTTGAACACTAGAAATACCAGCTTATGGGACAGCCAGGTACTTTCACTGACACGATTTTAAGGCAAGTAAAGTTAGCATAGATAGAGTTCATACCTCTATCCATTTTGCTAGTTTTGGCCTCCCAGATGTGATATCATACTTGAACACCTCTTGCAAGAAGATTTGGAACCTTTCAACAAAGGGAGAATACGCTATGTCGACCTAATGCACCACAGTTTCAAATTTAGTATGATGAGATTTCAATATCCAGAAACAAACATCTAGGTCTTTATTAAGAGGTAATAGCTTTGTATATTTTAGTAAAGTTACCATCTTACACTGTATACCATTGAGAGGGAAATACCTCAACGAAGTATATATAAATATAACTGACCTGACTGAATTGACCAAGGAAAAAAGGTCCGTCGTCAAATTTGTCCAGAGCTTTTTCTAAGTAGTCAAATTGTGGTCCTGGTGTAAATGTGAATTATTGTTAACTTCTCATGAGGGAAATTACAAAATAATACATAGTTGTAATAAACTTCAAAATAAACCTTACCAGCCTGCTTCTCAACATATCCTTTAAACGAAGTATATACTTCTTTCAGGAATGTATCACTGTAAGCCATCAACTCTTCAGCATACTTTTGTTTTTCAGAGTCCTAAACCAATTTACAAGTTGTATCAAATTTAAAAGTTCTGCTTCCTTTTTTTCGCTTGTTTGGTGCAATTTACAGAAATTTGCAGCTTACATCAGGTAGAAGAGATGGCCCCTCAAAGTTGCTGTCAACATATGTAATCAGATCGAGACTCTCTCCAATCACTTTGTTGTCGTGCTCCAGTGCGGGCACCTATAGAAGAATAGAACAAAACACATATTCAGAGGAAAAGGTTATGCTCTTCAAGCCCGAAGAACCCCTCATTCTTGTATTGGTTTCAGGAGAAAACCATGAAATTGAAGGAATAAAATTATTTTCTTATAGAGTTGCAAGCATGCTTTAGTGAAGTGTTTTTTTTCTTTAAACCGAGGGCCTATTGGATACAACCTCTTTACCTCACACAAGGTAGGGGTAAGGTCTGTGTACACACTACCCTCCCCGGACCTCACTTGTGGGATTATATTGGGTATGTTGTTGTTATTGTTGCAAGCATGCTTAATCTTATTCAGGAGATTTCCAGCATTTGTAACTATTAGATATCGCACATTCGGCAATTCCACTTACCCATAAGGCTTAACACTTTGATAAAACATGGCAACTAGCAGGAAGTTCAGCTCTGTATATAGTGAAGTGATAGAAATAATGGACTTTGTGCTTTAAGAGAATTTACCTTATTTTGCGGGTAAACTTTTTCCTTGTACCAAGCAGGCCTATTCTGAAGATCAATTGGAACTAATTCAATCTTATGTTGCAATCCCTGCAATTGTCAAAAACTTCAAAGTTTATTTACTTCCATTCACTCGTTGATCATACAACATTCATTTGGATAAATTCAAGATTCTAAGTAATAATTACCAAGCTAACAACTTTAAAGTAATAGGGAAATGAATTTGCAGTTAACGAACCTTAACGTTTCTGGTAATCCATATACGCTGAGCAAAAGGGCACTGATAATTGATATACAACCTTCAAAAACAAAAGAAAAAAAGAATCACACTTAACAATCTATCAAAAAAGGCATCCCGGTGCACAAAGCATCACCCATTAACGCATGGTCGGGGAAGGGCCGCACCTAGCCCTAGGGGTGTGATGTAGACAGCCTAACCTAATGCAAGCATTAGTGGCTGCTCCACGGCTTGAACCCGTGACGTATAGGTCACACGGAGGCAACTTTACAATTTACGATCTATCAAATAAAACAAATAACCAAGAAAAAAAAAACAGAGATGGTCAGAACCTGGTAGTTCCATCAAAGAGAGTCGGGGGTTCAGAAGTAGAATCAAGAGACGGAGGAAGAACCTCTTGTACATTTCTGTACAAATCAAATAAACCCCATCAACATACATTAAAAGGGAAGTATAGAAATCAAACTTTTCGTATATACGCATACACTTATCAGTATCAGTGTACGTACCGTCTGTACATTTGGGACTACATAACAGAAACCTAAAAGAGTATTAAAAGAGGATGCTAAACTTACGAAGTAGCCATATATAGTTGCTGGTTCCACTGCTGCTGCTGCGAAATAGAATTGTGGGGGTGAAATTTGATGATCAACAGGAAGGGAAATTGGAGGTTTTATAGCATTGATCAAGGTATGGTGTGAGCAAAGCACTGACGAAATTTAGGGACCAAGTTTCGAATTTAAATGCTTCTTTTGACCATATTAAACATTGAGAATATTACAGTTTAGGGTCTGTAATTGGAATTTGTATAATTACTAGGGTAGTAATTACACAGCCTAGTAATTATATAGTTGTATAATTATGACTATCTGTTTGTTAGTCATAGCGTAATTACAGTATAATTACAAGTTTACTGTTTGATTGCACAAGTATAATTACACCGTTAGATTTAATTTTAAATGAAGTAATTATCAAAACTTAAAAATTAATATAATAAGTATATGCCTATAAATTTTTATTAGTATAAATGATATATATTTGGTATTTAAGATGTATATTTTTCATGAATATACGTTAATTAGTAATCATATATTTATAACAAATATTGTCAAAACAATTTATATATATATTTTTCAAATTTATATAGATACTTACTAAAACTAAACATGTACGTTTTGTAAGAACATCACGAAATTCATGTTTGATAAAATAAATTAATATTTATAAATATAGTGTAATAACATTATTATGACAAAAACTAATATATCAATTCTATCTAAAAAATGAACAACATGCAATGTGAGACAATACTACTAAAATAAGTAAATTGGAACCATGAATATAACATAATTTTAAAATTAAAAAAAATATAGTTTAACATATGTCATATTCCAACATAATAATAGTAAGTTTCACTACAACTTAAGATTAAGAAACATAATAAGTTATAACCACATTCAACAACGAAATTCCACTTTAGTTGCATCTCTCATTATATGCCAGGTTTGTTAATGACTCATTATTTCTAATATTAGGAGGTGTAGTTTCAATAACATAGAATAATAAAATAAATAAAAAATAAAATATAGGCAATTACATGGAATCACAAGAAGTAAAGGTAGAGAAATAAAAAATAAATAATGTATAAAGAAAAATATATTTTAAACTTTTAAAAGAAATTAAAAGTAAAAATTAAAAAAATAAAAAAATAATAGAAATAAAAAGTTATAAAAAATAAATAAAAATAAAAATAAAAAGGAAAGAAACTATAAAGTAACCTTGTAATTACACAGTATAATTACCACCAATTCTCACTTTCCCCTTGATAATTGGAGAGTGTAATTACACCCTTCCAATTACACTCAATTCTATGATGACCAAGTTATTACTTGGCCAAACAAACATACTACACCCAAATCCATTTCCAAGTTGGCTTTCCAAACATGCTCTTAATCTCATCAGTAGATATAGATGAAAATACAATATGTAGAATTAAATAATTACTGAAATGGAATAACTTTAGGGAAATCTTATGCTTACCAAATTAAAACTGGCAGAATAGTTCGGGACCCTGAACTTTGACAACTTTTTATTTAGTTTTTTCTTAAATTTTATGCGGTCTTTATATTCCTCTGAACCGTTTTGATAGCCTCAACCTTTTGGATGCTGACAATCTATGAGAGTGTGACACACGCACTACCACATAATTTTTTTTGTCCATGTGATATTTTTTTTTACAATGAAATAGAAATTTTTACCATTTTAAGTCCACCAATTATTTAATATTTTTTTGCCCATATGGTATTTTTTTACCATGAAATATAAATTTTTGTCCGTTTAAGTCCACCAATTATTTAAAATATTTTTCCATGCCAAAAAAAACTTGGAACGACAATATTTTGACTATAATATTTTATTTGTATAAATATAATAATATTTTAAGTAAGTTATTTTTAAATATTTGGTCAGAAAAAGAAGGAATAACCGTTAAAAAAAATATATACTCATTGCATCTAAGGAAAAAATTAAAATTAAAAAACATTCTTGGAACTCCATATTTTGGCTAAAAGATTTGGTTAAAATAATAAATTCCAACCAAATATTTTATGAATTTGACCCAAAAGAGAATAATATTGTAATAAACCCGAATATTTTTATATACTTATTAATTGCGAAATTAGAGAATTTATATTATTTGTAGCTATTGGGTCAAATACTAATTAGTGGAAGGAAAATTTATTACACAATATATAAGAGAGTTTATCAAAGAAAGAATTACAAGAAAATACACACGACTTCACATCATAACAAAAAGTGGCCCATGTTTTTAAGTTTTACCCGACCTAGCCCATATTGTACTTTTTTTGAAAGCACTAGCAAACTCAAAAATCTGTGTTCTTTTTTTTTTTGGTTAAAGAAAAATTAATCTGTGTTCTTACAACCAAATGCTTCTAAAAGCTATGGAGTTAAATTTGTGTTTGCACAACCATTGCTTTCGCTCTCTCTTCTTCTCACATCTTCTATATATGCTTCAAGGGATCGTCCGCCATTACTGCTTCTCCCATGTGTCACCTGGTTCCAATGTAAGAAAATTGAAGGGTAGAAGTCCACCAATGAAGGCCATTCAAAGCTTTGCTTCCGAAAATAGGATTTTTTGAGTTTGTTAGTTGTTTGGATTGGGTATTGTTCCAATTAATTGAAAATATCAAAAGGAGTTCAAATTTTAAATTTGAAGTGATTTGGAGCAGATTTGAGCAAGATTTGAGTTAAATTTCAGAAAAGACGCAAGGAAGAAGATGGAGTCAGTTTTTTGTATTATTATGTATAATCTTGTATAATAGTGTATACGAGTGTATAAATACATCTTATACACTTTTATACACCTTTATACAAGCGTCTGTAGGCGAACTTCTTCACGATTTTCTGTTGCAATTCTTGTTCTAAACCAGTCCAAATCTCCATTAAATGACTTCAAATTTTATATAAAACCTCCTTATACCATTTTTAACAAGTCTAAATAATACCCACTACGAATTTCTCACAAAATTAAATTCGAAATTTAAAACCACATATTTAAGCTTGTTAAAAATCTAATTTACACCACCCAAATGGATTTGGTTTGTTGAATTAATATTTGAGTCACAGTTACTGATTCGAAAATTAACTTAAAAGCTTGAGCAATCTTTTTTAAAAATTAAATAGTAATTTCGAGAACCTATTGGAGTTGAATGTTGAGTATTAGCCTATTATTTTTGGGCTAGTTAGTTGTAAATTGAAATATGGGCTATAAAATTAAAAGTAGGGAGCCCAGTTGTTCTTATATGAAATTTTCCCTTTATTAAAGAGAAATTTTCAGAAACCGCTATGTTTTAGTAATTATTAGCTTGCAATAGCTTCCATTTACTAAATTACTTCCTATAGCTATGTTTTCAGTTGTTATAGACTGTATTCGATGTATTTTTGCTACTGTATTCGTGAATGCAGTAGCAAAACTCGCGAAAAATAAGGGAGTCCAGCTAAGTAGAGAATGTATTCAACTGTATTTGCGAGCTGTATTCGTGAATACAGTAACGGAATTTGCGGAAAAAAAGGTCTTCAGTTGTTTAAAAATAGTAAATCAATCAATTAACGCGATAGAATCCTAATATAACTCAACAAACTCATCTATAACATACAAAATTTGTATTTTCAGTTATAGAAAAGATTCTCAACCGAAAAACACCCCAAAAACAGAGCAATCTTCAGAGATTCAATCCATCTTTTCTTTTTTTAGTTTTAGTGGTATCTTTACAAATAGATTTATATATTGAAATTATATAATTACATTGAATACAGTTAAATACATAAAAAAAATACAGTGAATACATGAAGTATAGCATGTCATCTATAGTGCAAAAACATATGAATACATACTGCAGAGACATTTGAATACATATATACATCTGAATACATAAATTATATTAATTAAAAAAACATATGAATACATTCATGGAATACAGCAAGACAGTGAATACAATGAAATACATGGAATACAACGAGATACATTGAAATATGAAAAAAAAAGATAGTGAATACAATGAAATACATAGAATACAGCGAGACGTTGAAATACAATGAGAAAAAAGGCAACAGACTCTTCAAGTTCCTCAGCCCCAAACTCCGATCCATCCCCAATCCACCGATATCCAGGTTGCCGCCATGTGGGGCGTCGCCGCCAATTAAATGAAGACAGTTGTTGAAGAAGCACCAATTTAAAGGATCAAACGGAAACTAGAGACAGAACTTCTTCAGATCTCACAAGGCAAACATGAACAATCAATGCAAAATCTAAAAAAAAATTTAGAATGTGTAACACAACTGTGTAAAAGAAATCGCCGGCCGGAGGAGGGGGTTAGGGGTGACACAACAAGGAAAGGGAGGAAGTGGTCGCCGGCCTAATCTGTTGTTGGCGGAACACAGCCCCTGCTAGGGTTTCTAAAAAGGGGAGGAAAAACCAGGGGAAAAAAGAGAAGTAAGAGGAAAGAGAAAGGAGGAGAGAGGGAGGAGAGATGGAGAGAGAAAAATAATACACAGCGTATTTAATGGCTTAAAGGTAGGAAGTGGCCATAAATAGATATTTTGTTATAAAAATTAAAAGGTAGCTATAGGAGATAATTTTTAAAAGGGTATTTTTTGATAATAAATAAGGTATCAACCTCTGCTATAGGAGGTAAAATTTTCTTTATGAAATAAGAGATTAGTGGCCTAATTTATAATTAGGTATATCAGTGAGCAACATTAATAATTTAAATTATAATAGAGATGAAAAATAGAGTCCTTAACCTTATATTATGATAATTAGGATTTAGGGATTGGAATATATATATTTTACGGCTGGGTGTTTTCAGTAAAGAATATTAGGGAAAATACATTATTGGGTCGGCATGATTACTGCTCAATTCAACTGTAATGCATAGGAATTCTTGTAGAGAAGATACCAAATTACAAGGTATGTCTATTTTTAATTCTTACATACAATAGTGTTCAATGAAATTGGAGTGAATTAACTATATTGATAATGTTGATGATGATTGGGACAATAATCATTATAGCAACGTTGCTTAAGAATTGAATAAAACTCAATCATGATTGCAAGTGATAATGAGTTAGGGATTGAGATTGCAACCTTGTTATGGAAAAACAATAC